CCGGATCACGTTCTCCTGTGGCCCAGAGGCAGCATCAGCACCCTCAGGGACCCCCACGGCCCCCTTCCCTTCCCAGGCACAGGCCAGGAAGGTCCCACCCACCTCAGAGAAGGTCCAGGACACGGCCCGGCCCTTCTTGTCGATCTGCGGCCGCCGCATGATCTCCGTGCCCCCCTGGAACAGGATGAGGGTGGGCAGCTGCTTGGTGAGGGGCGAGGTGCTGACCTTGTACCTGCAGTAGGACAGGCCCACGGTGAGCCCTGGGCAGCCCAAGGGGGCCAGGGGGTCACAGGGGCTGCCCTGGGGTGGGCCCTGCCACCCAGGCCGTGTCCCCCACACCTGGTGCTGACGTCCGTGTACCGGCCCACATCCACCTTCCCAAACTGCAGCCCCTGGCAATTGTACCTGGGCAGGAAGGGACACAGAGCTGGGAGGGACACGGGGGACCACAGCCCCCGCGACCCCCCGAGATCCCGGCAGGCACCACTCACTTGAGAGAGAGGTCGGCGAAGATGGGGGCGAAGGACTGGCACTCACTGGACCAGTTGGCGAAGAACTCCACGATCCACGTCACCCGCTTGTCCCTCTCCAGCTCCTCCTGCCACAGGGGCAGGGGCTCAGGGTGGGGGAGAGGAGAGCAGAGCACCCCAAGACCCCAGGGATGGGGGGGATACTCACATCGATGGTCTTGTCGCTGAAGTACTTGATGTATTCGGGGCCCATGTACAGAGGGGGCTTGCAGGTCATCAGGAACACTGCAGGGACAGCACCCTGAGCCCACAGAGCCAGGCTGAGGCTGGGCCAGGGCTCCTCTGCCCCAGAGGCAGGACGCAGCGAGCCTGGGGCAGGGAGATGTCCCCCCAAGGATACTCTGCACACCCACAGCCCCATCCAGCCATGAGGGTCACCCGGGGGCAGAAGGGGGCTCTCCCGGGGGCACAGGCAGGGCACAGGCTGGGCTGGGGGCTCCAGGGCTGCCCCAGGGCCCCAGCAGGGCTCACCTATGCAGAGCGTGAGGTAGAGCAGCCCCATGCGGATGTCGAGGCGGAAGAACAGGATGGCGTTGGCCACTTTGCTGAACATGAAGATGTTCCCGATGTGCTGCTCCACGGTGACTGCAAACGGCACGGAGGGATGAAGGGACGGGGCCCAGATCCCGCCCCAAGAAGGCTGGGGGGGATCCTGAGGGAGGGCTGGATCTGGTGCTCCAGATTCCATCCCACTCTGCTCCTTAGAGGAAGCCCCGTAAGCAGCCCCCTGTGCCCCCCCCCGACTCACTGGAGCGCCGGTTCTTCATCATGACGATGGCGCTGAGGAACATGAGGATCTCCACCTCCCGCTAGCACAGAGAGGGGACAGCGTGAGCCTGCGCCCGTGCCAGGCCCTGCCAGAGCCCGCGTCTCGGGGAGGAAGCAGCGAGAAGGGGCTGCCCCGCGGCGACGGGCTCGGCCAGTGCCCGGCAGCCCCCTGGGTCATGGGAGGGCACCGACAGAGCAACAACAGGGGCTACGGGGCACCCCCTCCCTCAGTCGGGCCGAGGGGCTGCGCGGACAGGAGGGGAGCCAAGGGGTGCGGGACAGGCGGGGAGTGCGGGACAGGCCGGGGGTGCGGGACAGGCCGCGCCGCCTCACCCAGTCAAAGTCGCAGGGGTTGCCGTCCTCCCGCTGCGAGGGCAGCCCGCGGCAGAGCGGCGGGACCTTGCGCACGATGAGGAAGGCGGCGGCGAGCAGCGCGGATAGCGGGTAGTAGGGCCGTGCGAGCCAGCGGCACAGCCCCGGCAGCGCCCACAGCAGCGCCAGCAGCGGTGCCACCACCGCCATCTTCCCTGCGCCCCGCCCACTGCCCCGCGGGGGGCGGGGCCTCGCAGAGTCAGCCAATGGTGAGCGGTGAGCCGGGCGCTCCCCTGCGCCGCGGGCCAATGACAGAGGACACAGAGAGACAGAGGCCGCCAATCAGAAGGCCGGAATGAGTCTCCCTTAGCAACGGTCGCAGGGGCGGGGCCGGCGCTCGGCCAATGGCGGGGCGGGGCGGCCCCGCGCGGGGCACGCCGGGAACATGGAGAACTTCTCGGCGCTGTTCGGCGCGGCCGAGCCGCCGCCCGCCGCCGCCGCCGCGCTCGGCTTCGGGCCCGCCAAGCCGCCGGGCGCCGGGGCCGCGCCGCCACCCGCTGCCGCCGCCGCGCCGCCGCCGGGCGAGGACGCGGCCCGCAAGGCCGCCGCTGGCCCCTTCTACCTGCTGCGGGAGCTGCCAGGTGCGGGCGGGCCGCAGGGGCGGGGCGAGCGCCGCGCTCGACCAATCAGCGCGGCCGTGGGGTGAACTGACGGCTCGACCGGTCAATGAGCGCGCGGGAGGGCGGGGCCAAGTGGCGCGCGGCCCCGGGGGAAGCGGTCGGCGGGGGGTCCCCGGGGGGGTCCCCGGGGCTGGGCCGGAACAGGACACGGGGGTCCTGGGCACGGGTGGGCGGAGGGGCTGAGAGTCCCGGGGCCGGGGCAGGGCAGGGCAGGGCAGGGGGATCCCAGGGCTTTGGCAGGGGTGGGGATCAAGGCCGAGGGGTCCCCATGCCCCGGCAGGGCGATTCCCCCTCCTCGCCATCCCCTCCCGCGGCCGCACAGGCACCACGGAGCTGACGGGCAGCACCAACCTCATCACGCACTACAACCTGGAGCACGCCTACAACAAGTTCTGTGGGAAGAAGGTGAAGGAGAAGCTCAGCAACTTCCTCCCCGACCTACCCGGCATGATCGACCTGCCCGGCTCCCACGACAGCAGCAGCCTGCGCTCGCTCATCGAGAAGCCGCCCATCTGCGGCAGCTCCTTCACGCCCCTCACGGGGGCCATGCTGACCGGGTTCCGCCTGCACGCCGGCCCGGTGAGCCCGGGGCCGGCAGGTGGGAGGGGGGTGGGAGGGGCCCAGCCCGGCCTGACCGGCCCCCTCTGTCCGCAGCTGCCCGAGCAGTGCCGGCTGATGCACATCCAGCCCCCTAAGAAGAAGAACAAGCACAAGCACAAGCAGAGCCGCACGCAGGACCCCGTCCCCCCAGGTAAGGGGCTGTCACAGCCACCCCCGCTCCCCTCCAGTGCTGCCGGAGCCTCGGCTCATCCGGCACTTCTGCTTCCCCAGAAACCCCCTCAGACTCCGACCACAAGAAGAAAAAGAAGAAAAAAGAGGAGGATCCGGAGCGGAAGAGGAAGAAGAAAGAGAAGAAGAAAAAGAAGGTGGGTAGGGAGAGCCAGGGTCCAGTTCCCAGCCCGTGTGTCCCCAGGAGGCTACTGCCCAGCAGCTCTCAGGGGCTCTGTCTGTCCTTCCTCCACAGAACCGGCACAGCCCGGAGCACCCGGGCGTGGGCAGCTCCCAGGCCAGCAGCAGCTTACGGTGAGACCACCCCAGCACCGCCCCGGGGACCCCCTGGCCGATGGCCCTGGCTGACCCTGGGCAGGGGCACTGGGCTGGCCTGTCCACCCCTCCGGCAGAGAGGACACCCCCACAGCCCCCTGGGACCAGAGGCACAGACTCTGCGGGTGCTGACCTCGGGCTTTTGTACCAGAAGACCCTGGAGCGTCGGGGCCTGTTTTTTAGTTACCTCTGAACTAAAGTCTCTGCTCTGGGGAGGGGCTGGGGGCCACAGCTGCTGCGACCCTCGGCCGTCACGGCACGGGGAGCAGCCCTGAGTGAGGGCTCCCTGGAGTGTGCGCCATCAGCACCACCCTGAGCTCCTGCCCCGGCTCTCAGCCTGGCTCCTACCTTGGCTTTGGCCCTGTCCTGCTCTGGCCCTCACCTCCCAGGCCTGCTGAGGACGGGGGGACCCCTGGAGAGGCACCGTGTCCCTGCGCAGAGGTGGCAGCTGCCGCGGGCACCGGGATCTCCAGCAGCAGTCACAGAGACACCACAGCCCTCCTCCGGATCTCGAGCCTCACCAGCACCTGCCACACCTTCCCTGGAGCAGCTTTCCCCATGCCTGGAAAATCCTTACCTTTTGTGGGAGCAGTTTGCCCAAAAGCAGCCCGAGGAGGTGCCTCCCCAAAACGCAGCTGGGCTTGGCTATCCCCAGGCCTCCTTCCCTCTCCCCCCTCAGGATGGGGAAGGCTGAGACCCCAAGGAACAGGAGCTCCTCCATCCCTGGACGCCAAACAAAGCACACGCACGGCCCCGGGGTGGCTCATTAAATATCCTTTTATTCCTCGTTTTTAAAATGGCTGATAATAATAAAAAACCCTGGCGTGGCTCTGCGGGGCCACGGGAGCTGTTGCCGTAGAGAAAAGAGTCCGGTAGTGCCTGCGGGGCCACGGCTTTGCCCAGGCAGGGCAGGGGATGGGGAGCACGGGGCTCCTTGGCTGCGGCTTATTTTTTTTTTTTTTGGCATGTGATGAGAAAAATATTGCTTTCCGGGGATGTGCCCCACGGACCTGCCTCTTCCCCGAGCAAACGGAAATAAAAACACGCCTGTGACAGCGAGAAACCCCCATCGGAATCATTAACAAAAAAAGGCAACAAAACCAACACCCGCACACCGTCCCCCCCCGCCCCGACCACAGCCCTCAGGGAAAGGCAGAAAGAGCAAAAACCGTGGGTGGGGGAGGCTGGAGTCCATGAGGGGCTGGGGGCGTGGGGAGGGGGCTGCCCCCGTCCTACCTTGTCTGTGGGCCCCCGGGGGGCTGGAGGCTGCGCACACAACGGACCAAGGGGGGAGAGCATCTGAGGCCTTGGGATAGGGCACCCAGAGGGGCACCTGGCACCCCAGAGCCCTGTGGCCCAGGACCAGCAACGCCCAGGACCTGCACTGGAGGCCCCACATCCCTCCTTTGGGGACGGGGACAAGGTGGGGGGGGGGTGCAGACCCCCGGGCAGGGAACGGGGTAGTTTCTTTCTCTCTCTCTGGGTAAGATATATAATTTCTGCTTCTTCTTCTTTTTTTTTTTTTTTTAATATTTATATTTATATATATAGATATTTATATATACACACACCTGGTAACTCGGAAAGAGAAAAAAAATAGAATCCGTAACAATAATAATAAAAAAAAGTATTCTGGTTTAAAAACAATCCGTTCCTACCACGCCAGGCGAGCGGGTGATTGCACAAGGCCCACAAGTGGCTGGCGCAGCCGAGGCGGTGCCGGGGCTGCAGCCCCCCCCTCCCTTTCCCCCACAGCCCCCCCCCCGAGGGTGTGTGCCAGCCCCTGCGGCCCAGGGGGTGGAGAAGGGAAGGGCAGGGGGAAGTGCCCCCGCCCGGCTCCCCCGGGAGTCCACAAGCGTCCGGCAGCGCGTCCCTGGGGGCCGCCAGGGAGGAGGGGAGGGGGCGAGCGGCTCTGCCCCTCATACCGAGATCTCGTAGGTGGTGCCCCCCACGCCCGACACCTTCTTGACGCCGCCGCGGGTGGGGCTGCTGAGGGGCACCGGGCCCGGCGGGGCCGAGCCCAGGCTCTTGGGCTGCCCGTTGGACTTGCTGTAGGCTGTTCTCATCTGCACCTCGTCCCTGCGGGGAAGGAAGGACGGACACGGGGTCAGGAGCGGGGACGGCTCACCTCAGCCACAGCCCTGCCCTCCCCAGGGACCCCCAGCCCACTCCAGCTCCCGAGGAGCCTGTGGAGGTGTGGGGGGCACCAACTCCGTTCCGGGAGGAGGAGGAGGATTTCTCTTGCCCTCCCCAGGGACCTCCAGCACTCATAGCCCACTCCAGCTCCCGGGGGGGTGACCAAGGAGCTGTGGGGGGCACCAGCTCTAGTTCTGGGAGGAGGATTTCCTTTGCCTTTCCTCAGGCAACGTGCAGCATCTCTCTGCTGCCCCAGGGGGTTGGAGGGGCACTGGGCAGGGGGGCACTGAGCAGCCACTTCCCTGCAGGGTGAGGGTCCCACCCCATAGGCCCCGCTGTGCCTGTGCCATACTCACTTTGGTGCCAGTAAGGGCTGCAAGGCCACCTCCTCCGTCTCGGGGCCGCCAGCCTGCGAGGCTGTTTTTTGGCTGCTGTAAGACACGGATTTGCCCAGGTGGGGGGCAGCGGGCTGGTCGGGGGAGCCCAGCGAGCGCACCCGCAGCGCCGGGGGGGGCTCGGGCTTCCCGAAGCGGGGCAGGGCCGGGCGGGTGAGCGGGTTCTTGCCCAGCGGCGAGCGCTTCGAATCGTCCGAGGAGGAGCTGGTGCGGGGGGCGTTGCTGGAGGCCGGCGTCGACTGGATGCCCGAGTCCGCCAGCTCCGCGTCCTCCTCCCGGCCCGGGGCCGGCGGCTGCTGCAGCAGCTTCTCCCGCTCCTGGATGGAGGCCACGATGTGGCGGGAGAGATTGTCATAGCGCACGGGCGAGGGCTCACGGGGCGCCGCGTGCTTGGGGGAGGCGGCGCCGGCGAAGCGGCCGTGCAGGTCGGTCTCTCGCTGCTGGGCGATGCGGGCCGACAGGAAGGGCGAGGTGTAGCCCACGGGCGGGTCGGGCTCCGGGCCCGCCTGCACCGACTCGAAGTCAGGGCTGTCGGAGGGCGTGAGCAGGCTGTCGTACGAGAGGCTGCCGTTGCGCGTCTGGTTCACCAGGCTCTTGTAGGAGGTGGAGGTGGTGCCCTCGGAGCGGATGGACTGGAGGTGGCCCGTCTCGAAGCCCGTGCCCTGCGCCGACTTGAGGCTGGAGGAGCGGGAGCCGCTGGACAGGGGGTCGAAGTGGAAGCTCTTGCCGAAGGTGGGCGAGCGGAAGCTCTCGGGCTCCAGGCTCGGCTCCGAGCGGTAGCTGGGCTTGTGGCCGCTCTCGCAGATGGAGTTGGGCTCCTTCAGGCTGTTCACTCGGCTCAGCTGAGGGGCAGAGGGACAGCAGTCACCCACAGAACGATAACAGGGTCCCTGCAGAGCTCTGGACACCCATCCCACACCAGGAACACCATCCCCTCAGGGCTGGTCCTCCACACTGGGCCCAGCCTTACCTTGGCGCTGGTGGAGTGGGGCAGGGCCGCCGAGCTGCTGCTGCTGCTGTAGCCGGGCCGGTACTTGTACATGGTGGGAGTCGGGGGGCTGTCCTTGCCTAGCAGGCTGCTGTCTGCACCGGGAGAGAGGGGCACGCTCAGGGGGGCAGCGGCTCCCCGGGGCTGTGGGGAAGGAACGCGCCCAGCCCTTCCCTCCCTGCCCAAGAACCGGCTCCGAGCCTGGGGCGGACAGACCGGGGAGGGAGGGACGGGCTGGAGGGGAGGCGCAGCGGGGCGGGAGAGATGGAGCGGGATGAAGGGGTGTCCCCACAGCCACGTGTGTGGGGCTGGCACTTCCGCGCCCCTGCGGCAGCCCCGGCTGGGTGACACCCCGGGAGGGTGCACTGCACGGGGGTGCCAGGGTGCTCCCTCCAGGGACACACACACTGCAGCCCTCGGTGGGCAGTGGGGCTGGGCGGTGGAGCCCAGCCGGGGCCGGGAGAGCTGTGGGGTCTCCAGCCGCTGTGGGAAGCAGCTGCCACAGGCTCTGCCCGTCACATCCCACCTCTGGCCGAGCCCACGCGGGAGCCGGCCGAGACGTGCTGTGCCGCCGAGCCGGGCCCGCCACCGCTTCGCCTCCTCCGTCCCGGCAGCGCGGTGGCTGCAAGGCACAGCTCCCCGCTGGCTGCAAGGCACAGCTCCCCGCGGCTCCGGGCAGCGCCGCGCCGGCTCGGCCTTCCGGCTGTGAGCGTCCCGCAGGCTTCTCCAAGCATGAGGGGCCGCACACAGCGGCCTGGGAAGTGCGGCGGTGACGATGTGCTCCGGGTCTGCCCTGCAGCCTGATAAAGCCGCCTACGGCCCTGGCTCCTGGCCTGCCTGGCACAGCCCTGGGCTCCCTTCCCAGCGGCTGCCGGGGCCCTGGTGCCCTCCTTACCCTCGGTGGTGGCCAGGGTTAAGTGTGTCCTCAGGCCCGTGTAGCGGCTGAGGTCGGGCTTAGGTGGGGGTGGCGGCTCGGCGTCAGCAGACTGGCTCTCCGTCACTTCCAGGCTCCCCTTGGACTGCAGAGACAAAGCGCAGGGGGGGTCAGAGGGGGCCGAGGGCTCAGCCCCCCCGGGCGGGCAGGCAGTGGGCAGTGGTGCTGGGGGCTCTCGCTGCCCCCCGGGCCATCCGACAGACCGCACGCTCGGGGCTGGAAGTGCCAAGGAGGGGGGACCTCCAAAGGGTGCTGCGTGGGGAAGGACGGGACCGGGAAGGGCAAAGCCTCGTGTGGCCGCTGCCACGTGGGAGGGACACGGTTTCCGTCTTGTGGGGACACGGAACAAGACGACACAGAGGGGTCAAGGGACGTGACCAGGCTCACTCGGTTCTCTACTCACGGATGCAGGCTCGCACCCCTGGGCTCCGTGGAGGGCCCCAGCACGGGCAGCGCTGGTCCCCACCTTCCTCACCTTCGTCCTCTTCAGCTCTGTCTGGATACCGTTGTCCATGATCTTGACGGTGATCTGACCATCCGACACCTCGGGCCGCAGGAAGGGGGGTCTCACCAGCACCGTCTGCTCAGCCTTCGGGCGCCCGAGGTACCTGGGGAGGGGGCGGGAGGAAGGTCACGGCCTGGTGGTTTCCCTGTGGACGCCAGGGCCGGGTGTGATGGGGGCCAGGGGTACCTGCACTGCCTGGGCTCACCTGGGGGCCGGGGAGCTGCAGAGGACCCGGCTGACGTTCTTACAGCAACCGTTGGTGAAGGGGTTGACACCCCCACGGAACTTGCCCGTTACCTGCGGGGTAAAGGAGTGTCACAGCCTCGGGGCAGGCAGGGACCGTGGGGGGCTCGGCCCAGCCAGCCATGCCAGGGTTTGTCCAGCAGCCTCAGGACAATCTCCAAGGACAGAGATACTCAGAGAGCCTCTCCCTTATCCTGTTCCCTGTTTAAGTGTTCAACTATACCCTGGAGGGGGAAAGGTCTCCCTGATTTCGCCTCCCGCCCCCCAGAAGTGCCCGCCCGGCTCCATCCTCTGGCAGCACCCCCAACCCCAGGCTGCCCCTCAGGCAACCTGTGCTCTGCCCCTCCAGCTCAGGGGCCTCCCCCTGCCTCAATCCAGCCCATCCACATCCACCCTGCTCCGGGGAGCCCCAAAATGTGTTCGTAGGTGGCCTCACCGTAGCCCCACGGGCCCTACCTGTTCGTTGGTAGTGCGGCCCCTGGCCACGAGCACCACGTGGAACCCCGTCAGGCCAGCGACGGGAATGAAGAACAGCCCGGCCACGCACATCACCACCATCCTGCCACAGCCAGCTAAGGAGGAGCCGCAGCCCTGCTCGGCACCACACCAACCCACCAACCCCCGCCCCCACCGCCCCCCACAGCCCGTGGGGAGGATACGTGACGGCCATGCGGACGCCGGAGAGCTCCTCCACCTGGTACAGCACGTAGAGCAGCCCGAAGCCAAAGACCCCCATGATGTGCGTGGTGAGCGACAGCAGGAAGAGGAAGAAGTAGCGGTAGTTGCGCCGCCCAATGCAGTTGTTGACCCAGGGGCAGTGGTGGTCGAACTCCTGCCGGGGGGGTGGGAGGGCTCGGTGAGGGGGTGCTGCCGGGGCTCCCTGCCCTGCCCCGGGCACGGCGGAGGCCCCGGGAGCTCCTCACCTCCACGCAGTTGTCGCAGACGCTGCAGTGGGAGCAGCGCGGCGGGCGGTAGAAGCGGCAGGTCGCGCACCACTTCATGCGCACCTGGATGCCCTTGATCTCCACCGTCTTGTAGAGCGGGGCCCGGAAATCGTCCTCCTTGTCCTCGTCCTCCTCAGCTGGTGGGGACACCCCGGCACGGCCACGCGTCAGGGCCCGGCCAGCCCCTGCCTGCCCGAGCCGGAGGCACCCGGCATTGCCCTGCTGGCACCCGGCACAGGGACCCCCAAACACAGCCTGGGGGGCTCTCCCCAGCCTTGCCCTACAACCTCGACACCACCCAAGCCCCAGGGACCCGACACAGGGTGCTGAACCCAGAGCTGGCATCCATGTCACTGCCCGATCCCACCGGGCAGGGCGAGGAGAGCTCTCCACCGTCCTTTTGGGACCCAGAAATGCCCTTTAACTCAGAGGAAGGGTGCAAGGAGGCAGCTCTACCCGAGACCCTGGCTGGTCGGAGCCGGACTCACCTCGTGGGAATATGCCCGGGTCCATGAAGGTGGCCATGCTGAAGTTGGCGAGCACGAAGAGGAAGACGACGGCATTGTAGGCGGGGATGATGGGGGAGACGTAGAGACTGAGCCCCGGGCACCTGCGGGCACAGCAGCAGTGAGACCCCTTGGACCCCCCCACTGTCCCTACGGCTCCACCCAGTGCCCCCCACACTCAAACCGGAGCTGTGCCTGGGCCACCTCTGCAGCCCAGGAAGCACCCTGAGGGCACGGTGGGATGGCTCCAGGCATCATCCATCAGGGAGCGAAACCCCCACTCGCCCCTTGTGCCCACAGCCCCTCGGGATCCCACTGACACACGGAGCAGCCGTGGCGGGAACAGGGAGAGCCAGGCTGTTGGCACGGGGGAGATCCACCAGAAAATGCCTGCACTTCGCCCTCCCTGTGCCCCACCAGCTGCACGGGGCACAGAGGGGACCTGTGAGAGGACACGAAACCAGCGCCAGCTCCGGCGCCTCCAGAGCTGCTCCTGCTCCTCACAACCCAGAGACAGCTCTGGTGGGACACTGGGACCCCAACCAGCGCCCAGCTCCTCCAGGAGGGAATCACCCTGCTCCCTCCTGCCCCAGCAGGCAGCACGCTCAGGACAGCGGGCTTCCCCCTCGGAGGCGCCAGCGTAATTCCCTAATCTGCTTTGCTGCTGGGATTTAATCCCGCAGATCTAGGGCAGCATCTGTCCCTCTCTTCCCCCTGCCGCGCTGAGTGCCGATGGATTTGGGTGGCCGGAGCAGCGCGGGGCTGGGCGGGCAGGGCGACATATGGTGCCAGCGCCGTAATCCCCTGCAGGTTGGGGTCAAGGGGCAGGCACTGGGCCCGTCCCCTCCTCCACCACCACCCGCGGGGACGGGTCCCACTGGCGGCCAGGCAGCCCCTGTCCTTGTCACTGCAGCCCCGGGAGCGCCGGCAAGGCTCCAGCTGGGAACAAACCCTTGGCGCGGGGCTCTGCCCCCAGTGCAGGGCTGCCAGGGCCCCAGGGAGGGCACAAAGGCAGCCCCGGGTGAGGGGCAGGGGCTGCCCCGGGCAGGGCAGATGTGGCAGGGGGTGGAGGATTGGGCATACCTGCCTGGCACACACCTGCCTGGCACACACCTGCCTGGCACACACCTGCCTGGCACACACCTGGCAGCGCAGAGGGCGAGGAGGGCAGGGCGCTCCCAGCACCAGGCACGGCTCTGTGCCCTGGGGAGGGTGGGAACCATCAGTGGGACCTGCTCTCACAAGCCAAGGCCAAGGCTGTCCCCATCCAGGTGCAGCAATGAGGGCAGCAGGAGAGTGGGAAGGCAGACCCTTGGCTTCGGGAGAGCGCTGAGAGCAGCGCAGCGGGGCCAAGCCCTGCTCTGACACCCACACACTCCTCCTCCTCCTCATCTTCCTCTGGGACACCTCCAGGCCCCACACACAGGACCAGGCTGCTCCTGCAAACCATCTTCCCACCAGAGCCCCTTCCTCAGGAGCCGCCCTCCCGGGCACGCCGGGCGCTGCCTCCCCGCTCTGTATCGGGACAGCATCTCCCAGTGTGTCACCCCAAGCTCTGCTCCAGGCTGGGGAGCGGCTCCAAGCCTGGCACTGGCCCTGCCAGCCCTGCTGCCTCCTCTGGAAGCCAGCCAGGAAGATTCTCCAGAGCTGGGACAGGCTGGAGAGGAGGAGCCCTCTCCGATCCGTGCTCCAAAACCCTGGGAGAGCAGTGCTGGAGGCACAGGACCTACGTGACAGCTCAGGCCACAACCTGAGAGAGGGAAGAATCACACAATCACGGAAACACTGAAGTGCTCAGGTTGGAAAAGCCCTCCAAGATCACAGAGTCCAACTGTTCCCCCAGCAGTGTCAAGGCCACCATTGAACCGTGTCCCCGAGTGCCACATTTACACTGGTGTTTTTTGAACACCACCAGTGAGTGGGCTGGTGACTCCACTGCTGCCCTGGACAGCCTGTTCCAGGACTTGACAACCCTTTCCATGAGGAAATTTCCCCTAATATCCAACCTCAATTGCAATCTGAAGCAATCTTGTCCCATCGCTTCTTCCCTGAGAGAAGAGACCGACCCCCACCTGGCTCCAACCTCCTGTCAAGGAGTTGTGGAGAGTGAGAAGAACACACCAGAGCCAAGGACCCCACATCCCTGAGCTGAGCTCCCCAGCTCTGCTCTCTGCCAGAGGGAGAGGGGCAGGAGGCTCAGAGGAACCCTAAAAGTAGCAAATGCCCTTCCAGGAACCCTGTGGAAGGAGCTCCTCTCTCCAGGAAGGGAAATCCCAGCCCAAACCTTTGCTGGAAAGAGATGGAGGGGAGCCAGGAAGGCCCGTGGCTGGGCAACCATCCTGCACAGGGAACAGCCAACAGCCAGGCCAAGCCAAGCACACGGCCTGGATCCTCGAGAGACAGGGAGAGATCCAGCTGCCTTGGAAAGCTCTGGGGCAGGCAGAGAGGGAAGAACTGGGGTGCAGCATTCCTGGTCATGAGCACAACACCGGGGTCTCCTCCCCAGCAGCCCGCTGCCCTCCCGGCTCTCCCACACCCAGGCACCCCCGTGCTGTGGGAGACAGGAATCCCCACGGAGCCAGTGGCCACAAAGCCAGGGAGTCACCTCCCGGGACCAACCCCACCCACAGGAGGGAGCAGGGTCCTCCACAGGGAGCAAAGGTGCTGCCCATCCCTGAGGGAACCTCCTTATTGGGAGCAGGAGGTGCTCCTGGCCTTTGGCTCTCCCGGACAGAGAGCGTGGGGCTGCAGGCCCTGCCTCGACCCCAGGGACGGCCCCGGGGAGAGCGGGCGCCAGCTCCTCAGGAGCAGGAGGAGGAAAAGGAAGATGAGGAGGAGGAGGAGGGAGGCTCCTCGCCATCACAGCCACGCAGGTCCCGCAGCACCCATGGGGTTCCCCCTCGGGATTGGACCGGGATGCAACACGCCCATCGCCAGAGGAGCTGTCGGGACTTGTCCCTGGCAGCACATGAGAGAACTCTGGGAACCTCGGGCACCCTGAGTCACACCTGGATGCAAGACAGGCTTTTTGCCACCAGTCATGCCTGGAGAAGCCCGTCCCTCCCTGCTGGCTCCCCGTCCCCTCCACAGCCCCTCATCCCCTGCCCTCTCCTGGAGCACAGCCATTCCCAGGACGCCTCTCCTCCCTCCGGCTCTCCAAGGCCCTGGCACCAACACGATCGATCCCTGCACGCCCTGACCCTCCTACAAGTTTGGGTCCCACTGGGAGCGCACACAGCACCATTTCCCAATGGCACCAGTCCGTGTCCTGGCTCCAGAAGGGACAGGGAGCCTGATAACCAACCACACCAGGAGCTGGGACTGGCCAGCAGGGAGATGAAGGAATGGACAAATGGACCCCACGAGGGAGTTTCCATCCTAAATCAGCACCTCTCTGAGAGCCCAGCAAGCCTGGGACCCTCGCTCCTCCCAGAGAAAGGCAGGAACATTCCCTCTCCCACTGCCCCCCCTCCAGCCCAGCCGGCCTCGGCTCATTTCCACAGCCACGTGCTCGGCAGCAGCTCCTCATTAAATTAATCAATTAAAGAGAGTTCTTGGCCCAGAGACACAAATCCTGGACGGACCAAAAGGCGTCCAGTGGATGTGTTGGAAGTAACGCAGCCGGAGCCTGGAGAGCCGTGCCGAGCCCTGCCTGCTCCCAGAACACCCCTCCCCAGCTTCCACCGCGCTTCCCAAAGGATGAGCCTGAGGTGGGATGCCAACAGCGAGCAGGGCAGCTGGCAGCTGCTCCAGCTGTCCTGGTCCAGGCGGGCAAGGCTCACCCTGGCCCTCGGAACCGTGCAGGAGGCAAACCCCGGGCCCCGTGTCCCTGCCACCCCGCTCCAGCGCCAGGCTGTTCCCAGGGAACAGCAGTGCCGCTGCCCCCCGGCTGAGCCCCGTGTGAGCGCCGTGCCCGGGCTTTCACGGGCTGTTCTCAAGTAGGTTAAACAACACCGCTGACCTGTAATTACAGCGACCTGCCCAGCTGTTGCTGCCCTGGCCAAACCTGCTCCGCGGCGCCGGCTCCGGCGCTGCCTCTCACCCCGTGCTGATAAGCGGCTGCTCCCGGCGCTGCCACAGCCCGGGGCCGGGATGGGCTTGGGGGTCCAGCTGCCTGGAGGGCCCCCCAAAGCACGGCTGCAGAGGCAGGCTGTCCCTCCCAGGTCACGGCGTGTCACGCACGGTGCAGAGGGCATCGCCCACTCCCCCCGCTTCTCCTTCATCCCTCTGGAGTGGGAGCACAGCCAGCGACTTCCGCAGGCGTCTGGCAGCCTGGAGCGGCCAAACCTGGAGCCTGGGAGCTGGGTGACCGCTCGGTGTCCCAGCAGGGGACGGCCACACGTGCTGAGTGACACCACCAGCTGCACTCGAGCCGGACAGGGCGAACCAAACCCACTCTCCCCTTCAGCTGTCAAGTTTCCCTGTCACTGCCCGGTGGCTCCCAGGTGCCAAAGCCACAGTGACCTTCCCACCACCATCACAGGGAGTGGCAGGAGCCACCACACCCAGCCCTTCAGCCTCCTGCAGCTCCAGCTGACCCCCAGCAGGAAAACCCCAGCGAGCAGGAGAGGCTTCCCGGAGCAGACGGTGCACCCCCTTCCCACCAGCTAGGACCCCAAACACATCACCACTCAGAGCCCACCACAGGGACAGGATTTGATAGCTGGTGCGGCTGCCACGCTCCAGCTTTCCTGCCCGGCACACCATTCCTGCCCAGCACACCCTGCCTTGGCTGCCGCCGCTCCCTCCCGGGCTCAGAGCTGGCACAGCAGCCTGGCCCCCTCCTCAACACCCCCAGGTCCTGCCCCCACGCCTGCCACCCCCGGGGCACGTCACTAAGGCACATGGCACAGGGCAGGGAGGCCCTGCAGGAGAGAGCAGCCCAGGGACATCCCCATGCCTCCCCAGCAGCCGGTACCATCTCCCACCCTGGCAGACCCCCACGGCCCTGGTGACCCACTGGCCACCCCCCAGGGCCCTCTCCAGGGACACTGAACCCTTGTTTGCCCAGGGCAGGGCTGACACTGACAGCCAGTGATCCGTGCAGGGGGCAGAGTTCTCCTCCCTGAACTCTCCTTTGTGGCTCACAAATCGATTACAAAGCTCCAAAAATAACACGGATCCTGCCCCGGCCCAACCAATCCACCCTGCCTGGCCACAAAAGGGAAAGTGATCCGGGTGTTTTCCACCCACAGGTCACAAACCAGCGTCCAGCCCCGCTGATCTGGAGCTGAGTGGTGACACGGTGCCTCACCAGGACCCCCGGCTGCGGAAAACTGACTGACACGGGGGTCCTGCTGCCCCAAGGGCCACCAGGCCACTCCACCACCCGGAGCACGACATCCCCCTTCCCTCTGGGAGGAAGTCCCAACCCCTCTCCCTATTTCCCCACGTCCCCTGTCGCCCCCTCCAGCCCTCCCCGCTCCGGCCGAGCTGCCGGGACTCACGTGAAGGCAAAGAAGAGGGTGGTGGCTCCCACTAGGAAGATGGCAGCAGCGGAGACCGGGACGTACTTGCTGGGTTTGAATCTCTTTCCAGAGGCTGCTGGCATGTTGGAGCTGTGGTGGGGGGTCCGCCCCGCAGCATAGCCCAGGCCCCGCGGGAGTCAGAGCAGGACGAGAAGGGGAGGGGGACAAGGGCCGACCCCTTCCCGGCCTCCACGCCCGCTCCCAGGCCAAGCTCCGACCTGGACGGATAATCCGGACAAGTCTCTGGAGCTGGTGGCCCAGGAGAGGAGCCCACCCTACGCCCTGCCCGGCAAGAGCTCGCGGGCGCAGGGGAGGAGGTTTAAAACCATCAAAAATTCAGAGCAGAGCGGGGGATTTGAGTTTAAAACAGCCGTCGGAGCGGGAACGCCGGGAGCCCTCGCGAGCCTCGCTCTCTGTCAGGAAACAGGCAGCCAAGGTTCCCAGGGGAGGGGATTCCCTAGGCTCGCTCGGCGCTTCCCACCCGGCCAGCACCCCGGGAAGAGCACGGGATCAGCAAACTCCTTGCGAAAAAGCCACTCCGGGAGCCTCAGGGAAGCCACTTCTCCTTTTTAATCCGCCTCCTCTGCGGTGCCGCAGCCCCCGGTGCTGCACGGGAGGAGGGGGTGGTCTCCAAGCAATCTGCCCGGCTTCCTCTCCGCTGCCGTGCCTCCTCCTCCTCCTCCTCCCCTCGCTGGAGGGGTCACGGAAACACTCTCCCTGATTTCACCGGGATCCGGGGCTGGCTGGCGGTGGCCGTTTAATTTTATTTATTTCTCTCTTGTCTGTTAAAGCCGAGGAACAGCTGGTGCAAGGTTGAGCTGTAAATCCTTTCTTTCGAGGGGGGCGGAGGGGAAGGTCTGGCAGACTGTGGGTTTTCCTACTTGCTCCTTTCTCCTGAAGCCCCAGGCCCTTCCACGGGCTCGGTATCCACTCGGCGGTTGGGAACCGACAGGAATGGCATTAAATCCTCTCGGCAGCGACCATTTCCCAGCAGGTGAACTGGGGGGACCTGGAAGGGGGCGTTCAGGGAGCGCCTTTACAACCCCAGCAGACACCCAAGGGTGGCAGTGGTGCTGAGCAGGTCTGTCTCACCCATGGCCCGGGCGGTGCGGGGGGAAGATCTCAGTTTGTTCCAAACCGCTTCATTTTTTCCTCCCCTTCCTTCAATAAAATCCTTCTTCATTCATCCATTCGTCTTTTTTTTAAAAAAAAAAAAAAAAACAAAAAAAAGCTACATAAAAACCATTAAAACTTGAGGTCTGGCACGCCACAGCTCACCTGGAAAAAAAATAACAGCAGGAATTACTATGGCAAGAGAAGGGACAGAGCCATGTGTGAACACCCAGGGAGAGGCCAGCGAGCTCCCCAGTCCCTACCCCTTCTGTGACCCCCCCAAGAAACCACCCTGAGCCCCGAAGGAGTGGAGGGACCCCACAAATTCCCTCCTGCAGCTCCTGCTCAAATCCCAGCGCCAGCGAGCGCCGGCTCCCTGAGGTGCAGAGGCTGAGCAGAAGCTCCAGGACTTAACACAGGGGTGGAGATCACAAGAGGAAAAGACATCCAGGAGTCTCATCCCCTTCCCTGGAGGGTAGGAGACGGGAGAGGCCCATGGAAAACACCATTCCCCCAGCCGGACATGGCTTTTGCAGCTCTGGATTCATCAAGAACTGTAGTGCCAGGACAGGGGGGAACAGATTTGAACTGCCAGAGGGCAGGGTTTAGCTGGGATATTGGGAGGAAATTCTTCCCTGTGAGGGTGCTGAGGCCCTGGCACAGGTTGCCCAGAGAAGCTGTGGCTGCCCCATCCCTGCAAGTGTCCAAGGCCAGGCTGGACGGGGCTTGGAGCAACCTGGGATAGTGGAAGGTGTCCACTAGGAAGTAAGGGGGTGAAACTGGACGCCCTTCCAACCCAAACCATCCTGGGATGCCATGGTTCTGTGAAGGACAGGTGGCTTTTCACTGGGCAGCCTCAAGTGCCTGAGGGTGCCCTTGGGAACTTGCCACCCTTGGCTGATGACAGGGACGCAGGAGGGAGTGCCACGGACAACAGGAAAACCAAACCGTTCTGGAAACGGGAGCAGGAGGCCCCGACCTGCCCCAAACCCCCAAAACAGCCATGAGCCCATCCCACATCAATCACATCCCACCAGTTCCTGCTTGTCACCCACCCTCCCCTCGCTGCCTCTGCCCAGGTCCGAACAGAGCCCAGCGTCTCCCTGCCTTCCTCCTTCCACCTTTCTCCACCTCCCCAAGCTTTTCCTTCGGGGTGGACACAGGGAACTCTCTGGTGCTGACCAAACGTGGCTGAAGGCCTGGAGAGCTGCGGTCCAACATCAAAAAGGCACGTTTAATGACAAGGATGTGTTACAGTGAGCTGGGTCCAGTCCCAGCCACCCCAGCTGACTCACGGCCCGTCCTCCGCAGGACCCGAGCTCAACTTCCCACCCCAAGGTTTCACTGCCCTTGGGACGGGGAGGAAATGCAAGGATGATGCTCCGACCAGCCAGGAACGTGCTGGTTTCACCTGGCAGCAGCTCCAGTAACACCAGGGAAAGCTGTTTCCTGTGGCATGGACAGAGCTCCCTGGAGAGCTACAGCTTTCCAGCCCCACTCTGCGCCCACTGGGCTTTGGGGAAAGCACCCACCAGCCCCTACACAGGGTTTGGGGAACAGCCCAGCACCCCACAGAGCCCAGCCCTGCGACAGGGGCCGACAGCAATTCCAGGATGGGCTATCAGCAATTCCAGGGATGGGCTGTCGCAAGTTCAGGGCCGACAGCACGGCTGATTGCTTTAGCAGGAGCAATCTGCTCCCAGCCCTTTGAACGCTCCGCCGTGGAGGCACAGCCACACCTCGGGCTCAAACAGAGCCTGCCAAGCAGAAGGGGGTGTTCCCTGATATTCCTCCCTCCGGAGATCTCCACCCTCCCCTCGCGGCCCTGCTCTGCCTCGGCCCTTCCACCCCAAGATCCAGGTGCTCCAGTGCTTCCCATGGGGGTGATCCCTGCAGAGGTGCCGGAGCCAGCTCCCCGTGGAATCAGGTACCCATGGGACAGGCCACCTGAGCTGGGGGAAACCCCAAGTGCTGTCATTAGTGACACCCAAGCGAGATCCGATGCAAATGCATCCCTGTTTCGTGCCTGGAATAACTCCACAACTCACCAGGAGGCTGCCGAGCCCATCCCGACTCCCAGAGCCACGACACAGCTCTGGGAATGTCTCCCTGATCCCCACGGCATGGCAAGACCCCCTCAGAGCCCTCCAGCCCTGCCACAGAGGCCAGGGCAGAAGCCCAGCCCAGCCCAGCGTGCCAGAATCTCTGCTCTGCAGTCCCCAGGGTGCCCAGGAGAAACTCAAGGAAAATCCACCCCGAATTCCCACAGATGACACCAATTCAGGCCACGTTCCCACTGATTCTCTCCCAAACACACATGTTCCTCCCCAGCCACCCCCCTTCCCAGCCCTGCAACCTGCCCACCTCTGGTCTACCAACCCCTCCTTTCCCTGCACCTTCTCCCCAAGCCCTTTGTCTCTCTGGCCACATTGTCCCCATCCACAAAGGGCACTCACAAAATTCCCTGCTCCAAAGAGTCCCCAGCTCATCTCACTTCCACGTGACATATACGGGCTCCCATTCCTTTCCCTCTGCCACTTCCAGCCCAGCAACTCCTCCTCTCCTGCTCCTCTGGACCTGCCCTGCTCCTTCCTCCCCCAGTGCCTCTGTCACTGCTCACTCCCCCTTCCCTCTCCCACAGAAATTCCACCTATTTTTCCCATCCTAGCATTCCCCTTTCAGAGCATTTTCCCAGTCCTGCTCTGCTCAGCCACCTCTGGAGCGCTCATCTCCAGGGCTTCCCTGCACTCATACAGGGGAGCTGCTCCTGTTTCCCTCATCTCCCTTTCTGGGGATTTCCTTTAATTCCCAGTTCCCTCCCTCGGGACGCGTGCAACTGCGACTGCTGCCACCTTCCACTTCTCCGAGCCTGCATCTCCTTTTCTTGGGTCAAGGCCCTGCAAAGTCTCCTTGATTTCCTCCTCTTCCTCCAGCCCCTTGTTCCTCGCTCCTCCTTCCATGCTTCCCACCCCGCTCTGCCCATCTGCTGCAGCCCCTCTCCAGCCTTTCCCGACGCAGCCCTGCTGCTCCGTGGCTCGGCCCTTCCGAGGCCTGAGACAGGACACAAGGGGGTGAGGGAACCCGTGTGCCCAGCTCCCAACCTTCCCTCCCTCGTGTCCCTGCGGCTCCTCGCTCTGCTCCTGCCTGGGAAGGAGGAAATACACCCGGGAATTAACCACACCACCGCCCGGGATGGGAGCCCACGGCACGGGGAGGGGAGAGTTCCCTCTCGGTTCCCGGCTCCCAAACCTGCGTCACCTGCCGGGATCCGCAGCTCCCGACCTGCCCCGATCCAACCGAGTTCCCATGGCGCAGGGCAAACACACAAACAATTCCTTCCACGTGAGGCAACTCCCAGAGACAGGGCAGATCCAGGGCTGCGCCGGAGACGGGATGTGCTTTACCTGTTCCCACTTTTGTTTTGATCGGCTGCGCCCGGGAGTTCCGCGGAGCCATTCCAGAGATCGCCGCGTGCTCAGCCCCGGCACCAGGAGATTCCCTCCTCCCTCTGCAGCTCCTTCTGCTCCCCCTGTCCTTGCACGACCAGCTCTCACCTACCGCTTGACGTTTAAGACTCCAAAATCCATCAGAGAGAGCGGAAACGTTCCCAAACCCGCCCCACCGCAGCCCCCCAGCACGAGACTCCCCTCTGGTCCCCGCCCTGTGTGCAAACAGGAGCCCCTGCCCCGTTTTGGGGACACTTCCCTGCTTTCAGTTCCAAAGGAGGACGCACAGCAACGTGCATTTGGACACCGGGGCTTCTGGTGGAACTGCTGCATCCTGCACACCCGCCTCTCTCCCACCCAGGTAGATGTACAGGGGTGTTAAGGAGGACAAACACGGAAAATGGACCAATATTCCACTGCAGACAGCCAGAAGGCTGGAATCACTCTGTGCTTATCTCCTGCCCGGGGCTTACACCGCTCCCATCCTCCTTCCCTGGCCCATCCCGCTGCTTTACGCGGGATTAGCCCCATTTGATGGGCAAGGCAGGAGGAAACAGGTCTCGTCCATCGGGGCCGTGTCCCACCGGGCCCCACGGTGAGCAAATACAGACCCAGGCTCCTGTCACTGTGCCAGAACACACCGGGCACAGTCGCAGGTGGGAGTGTCCCCAAACAGGCCCCTCACAGGGGAGTTCAGAGTCCCCCCTCAGACTCCCTTAATCACCCCCCTCTCCATCTCCAGCCGGGGCTCATGGCCTCGGGAACCAACGGGAATAAACGTCTGCTAGAGCAGCGCCTGGGCCCGAGGGAAGGAAGGTGATAACTGGATTAAGCCCAGGAAGAGGCTCCAAGATCAACTCTCCTTGCTCCGATCGAGACAAGGCCCTGGTGGCACTTCACGCCGCCCAAACCCACCCCCGTACAGAGAATCCTGCCTGCCGAGCGCCCAGACCCAGCTCTGTGCCGGGGCGGGAGCCGGCAGGTCCGGGGGAACCACTTCCCGGAGCCGCGGGGGACGCGGGGGCAGCCCATCCCCTCCCGAACCGGCGGCACGCCGCGGCCGGGAATCCGCGGGGCGGGGGATCTGGGGAACCGCGAGGAGAGGCCGGGCTGGAGCCGCGCCGGCTCACCCCAAAAACCCGCGGAGACGCGACCGCGCCGCCGGTGCGCGGAACGCGGCGGGGAAGGTGCTCCCGGGGGCACCGGGGACGGGCCCGGCTGCGGGGCAGCGAGCGCGTCCCCCGGCGGGTTCCCGGCCCCAGCCCCCGGCGGAGCACGGCCCGCTGCCGGCGGGGCAGGACGACGAGGAGGAAGCGGCGCTCCCGTGCAGAGGCACCGGCGGCCATCGGGGCAGGGTCGGCCGTGCGGAACGCGGCGGGGATTGAAGCCGCGGACGGGGACACCCGCGGACGGACGGAGTGAGGGGCCGGTACCCGCCCGGGAGGTGGGGGGGTGTCGCCGGGACACACCGGAGGCACGGCCCGAGCGGCGCGCGGGGGCGGCCGCCGCGGGAGGAGCGGCGGCGGGGCCGGGGAGGAGAGAGCGCGGCGGTGGCGGGGGCGGTGCGGGGGGTGCTCGCGGCCCACGTGACTCACCGGCGGGAGGCCGCGCGCGGCAGCTCCGGGCACGGTCGGCGGCGGCGGCGGCGGCGGCTCCGGGCGGGCGGGGCGGGGCCGACCCGAGCGCGCGTGCGCGCCGAGCGCGCCCGCCATTGGCCACCGCCCCGCCGCGCCCCGCCCCGGGAACGGAGGCGCGCATGCGCGCGCGGGGAGGGGCGGAGCAGCGGGACAGGGGCATGGCGGGCTCGGGGCCGCTACGCATGCGCGGGACGTACCACCGCGGGGAGGCGTGGGGGGACACGGACACGCGCACGGACCGGCGCACTGCGGGCGCGGGGAGCGCGGGGACCGTACCGCACGACCCCTGGGAACTCCCCCTGCCCTCCCGCTCCACCGACACTGACCGACAGCAAAGGGCTTCCAGATTTAATATCAAACCGTACAAAACAGTATAAAAGCAGAGGGTGGGTGCACTGCCAGGAGGAATTAGGGGGGCACACGCCCAGGAGGGGGGGCTCGCACCCGGCTGCCCCCCCTACTTGAGGTCCATGAAGCGGATGTCCATGATGAGCAGGAAGTTCTTGGGCAGGGGCCGCGGCGCCGGGGACAGCACGGTAAAGACCTGGCGCTCCAGGTCGACACCGGTGACCACGATGAAGCCGGCCACACTGGTCTCCGAGATGTTGTCATCGGGGCCGTCAGCCGTGCTGACGCTCAGCAGGTGGTGCACCATGTCCCGCCCCGGCGTCACCGGCACCAGCTTCAGCTGGTTGTCCTCCTGCGACATGCCCAGCGGCAGGCACGAGTCCGGGATGGTGGGCGCGCCCACCTTGTAGATCTTGACGTCGGAGAACTTGACGTCGAAGGCGTGCGGGTAGAAGCAGCCACGGAAGCCGTAGAAGTACTCGCGGATCCGCTCGTCCCGGCACTCCCGGCGGAAGTCCTTGGAGCGCTCCACCACGCCGCCGGACTTGGGCAGCAGCACGGTGCGCACGAAGTGCGGCAGGTCGCGCTTCAGCTCGTTGTACAGGCGCTCCTGGTCCAGCACCACCACCACGTCCACCTCGAAGGCGGAGGCGGCGTGGACCAGGGCCTGGTAGCCCGAGCTCTTGACCCAGCCGCAGGTGTTGATGACGCAGCCGCTGACAGAGGCGCGCCGGTTCACCTCACACCGCTGGTTGAACACGTCGGCCAGGCGGGACGTGATCTGCGGGCACAGCGGTCATGGGGGGGGTCACCCTGGTGGCACCCGTGTGTGTCCCCCCCATCCCACCCCAGGTCCTTCTGTACCCACTCAACGCCTTGATTCTGGGCAGTCACCCCAGGGAAAAATCATGGAATGTTAAGGGTTGGAAGGGACTTTAAGGATCATCCCATCCCGACCCCAACAGCTTCCACTAGCCCAGGTTGCTCCAAGCCCTGTCCAGCCTGGCCTCGGACACTTCCAGGGATGGGGCACAGCCACACCCTCCCCTGGGCAACTTCCAGTGTCTCACCACTCTCACGGGGAAGGATTTCTTCCCAATATCCAGCCCAAATTTCCCCTCTGTCAGTGTGAACCCGTTCCCCTTTGTCCTGTGACTCCAGTTCCTGGGGAAGAGTCCCTTCAGATACCGGGAGGTTGCTCTGGGGTCCCCACACAACCTCCTCCTCCCCAGCCTGAACAGCTGCCCCTCTCCCAGCCTGTCTGCACAGGGGAGGTCCTCCCGTTCCCTCATCAGCTTCACATCCTCCTCTGCACTTCCCTCCCCCCAGCTAGGGAGGAGTGACTGCACCAGGGCGGCAGAACCAGGCCTTGTCCCCAGGGCCAGGTCAGGGTTCTGTCCCCAGACAGCCCCCTCGGGCGCTCAGATGCCCCCAGCCTGGGGGCTCGGGGCAGGGAACAGCCCAGCCGTGGCCCCTCAGCCCCTCTCCCCTCCCCGGAGGGGCTCCTCCACGCCCGTCCCCCCGCCGCCCTCCCCGCATCCCGGGGCACAGGGATCGCAGGAGCTGCTCCCACAGCCCCTGGCGGGGGGGAGGATCTCCTCCGGCGCTCACCTTGTTGTAGAGCTTGATGTTGGTGCCGGGCGTGGTGGAGCCGAAGTGGTAGACGAGGGGGGCCTGGAGGGAGAAGCCCTCCTCCACGTCGGCGGGGCGCTCGATGTACAGCGCGCCCATGGTGCCGGGGATGGACACCGAGCCCTGCCCCACGTCCAGCTCCACGAACGTGGGCCGCCGGCCCAGGCGCACGGCGTAGTTGAGCAGCAGGCGGCACACGGTGGTCTTGCCCACGTCGGTGGGTCCCACCACCATCACGCGGGGGCCGCGCTCGTCGTCGCGCTCGGCCTGGCGCCGCATCTGCTCCAGCGCCGTGTGCGTGTTCAGGTACAGCAGCATCGGCGTGTCCCGCGACACGTAGGCCACCTCGGTGCGGCCGCTGAGCTGCACGGTGCAGCCGTGCCACGTGAACACGGCCACCTTGGCGCCCGCGTCGAACGTGAACTTCTTGTTGCGGGTGAGCTCGGTGCCGAACACCTCGGCCATGCCGGTCAGCAGCTCCAGCTGCACCGTCTGCGCCGCCTCCACCTCGAAGCGCAGCTCCGTCTCCCGCTCCAGCTCGAACTTGGCCACCTGCTTCTTCTCCTCGCCGCCGTCGTCCGCCATGACACCGCCCCGGGGCTCCCGGTACCGGCGCCCGCCGCCGTCGCGCCGGAAGTGGCGTCAGAGCGACGCGACGGCGGGAGCGCTGAGCTTCGCGTCACGTGGCGCTCCCTAATCACGTGGGGCGCTCGGGTCACGTGGGCGGGGAGCCGTGGTTCGTTTGCATCTCATCTGCATATCGTTTGCGTTTCGTACGCGCATACGTGTGCCTGTCTGCATCCCGCCCTCTCATTTGCATCTCATTGCAGTCCCTGTGTCCCCCCCACCTCCCCCGATCCCTCGGGTTGGCTCCCGGGATCGTTCGCATGTCGTTTGCATGGGATTTACTCGCAGTCCCGCCCCCCCCTTCGCCTCGCCTGATTTACATCTCATTTTCGTGCCCCCAGGGGGCGACCGAGCGGGGGGGGGGGGGGGGGGGAGTCACGGGGGACGTGAGGGGACACGAGGGACACGGGGGGGACACGGAGGACACGGGAGGACCGGGAGACAAGGGGGGACATGGGGGACACGGGGAACACAGGGGGGCACAGGGGACACGCAGGGACACAGGGGGACAAGGCAGAACACGGGGACACGGCGGGTCACGGGGACAGGGGGGGAACAGTGGGACATGGAGGACATGATGGACGCAGGGGACATGGGGGACGTAGGGACACGGGGGGGACTGGGAGGACAAGGCAGAACATGGGGACACAAGGACATAGGGACAGGGGAGACGTAGGGGGACACGGGGACGTGGTGGGACATGGAAGACATGATGGACACGGGGCACACGGGAAAATGAGGGACACAGGGGACATAGAGACACGAGGGGACTGGGAGATGTAGGGGGACACGAGGGGGGACATGGAGGACACTATGGACACGGGAGACATGGGGAAATGGGGGCCATGGGGGGACCGGGAGATGCCGAGGTACGCGGGGTCCGCAGGGACATGGGGGACACGGAGGACAAGGCAGAACACGGGGGGACCGGGGGGTGCCGGCGGCCGCAGCGCATCCTCGGCGGCCGCGCTGACGTCGGAGGGGCGGGCGGTGACGTCACGGCCGCGGTGGCGGGCGGTGACGTCACGGCCGCGGGATGAGTCACGGTGCCGCGATGCGGCCCCCGGGCACGCAGGGCCCCCCCCGCGCCCGCCCCGGGGACAGCGGCGACAGCGGCAGCGGGGACAGCGGCGGGCGGTGAGCGGCCCCGGCCCCCGGGAACGCACGGAACCCGGTACCCCCCTCGGGGCCCCCATCGTGCCCTCCCCCGAGACCCCCAAAGCCCCGCCGAGCCCCCCGTCGTGCGCCCCAGCGTTCCTGAGATTGCCCCCCCCACGGCGGTACCCCCGTCCTGCTGCCCCGCCACCCCAAATATGCCCCTACCCGGCACCCCGTCTCCTCCCGGAGACCGCCGTCATACCCCCCCGGGACCCACAATCTACCCGCTAGGGCCCCGATCATCATCCCTCGGGACCCCCATCATCGCTCCTCGGGATCCCCAATTCCCCTCCTCGGGACCCCCACCATTCCTCCTCGGGACCCCCACCATTCCTCATCAGGACCCCGAATTCTCCCCCTGCCGGTACCCTCAGTTCTCCCCCTCATGTCCCCCCATCATCCCCCCTGGGGACTCCCAATGTCTCCTCCTCGGGACCCCCAGTCTCCCCCACCGGGACCCCTAATCTTTTCCCCCCAGAATCCCCAATCTCCCCCTCCCCCCGGGACTCCCACTCCCCAGGGACTCCCAGGCGTTTCGAGAAGGGACCCCAAACCCCGCTTGGGACCCCCCCCCCGCTATCCTTCCCCTGTCCCTCGGGCCTCCCTCTCCCCCCCTTTCCCGGTGCCCCCCGGGGTGCTGCCCCCTCACTCCTGCTACAAGCCGCCCGGTCTCAGCCTGGGCGATCGGGGATCGGGATCCAGCAGTCCCGCCGTCCCCCCCCCCCTCCGCCTCACCACCCCCTTTTCCCCCTCCGCAGGCCGCCCCCCACCTTTCCCGCCTCCTTCTGCCGGGGGGGCCCGGCGGAGCCCCCCGAGCGCGGCCGGGCGGGACGGCGGCTCTGGGCGCGCTGCTGCGCTGCTTCCCCTGCGAGCGGCTGTGCGGGGGCTGCGCGGTGCCCCCCGGGGCGCTGCCCCCGGCCATGCCGCCCCCGCCCCGCCGCCGCCTGCCCCCCGCCGCCCGCCTGCCCCCCCGCACCTTCCGCAGTTACCTGCCGCGCTCCCACCGCACCTACAGCTGCGTGCACTGCCGGGCGCACCTGGCCCGCCACGAGGAGCTCATCTCCAAGGTGCCACCGCCGGGGTGGGGACTGTCCCCCCGCGGGACACCCTGCAGTGTCCCCCGGGGGGGGGGCAGAACAGCGGGTGTCACCCTCACCGTGTCACCCTCACCGTGTCCCCGGGGTGCTGAGCCTCTCCCCAAGGTGGCGCTGGGACAGCCAGTGCCCCCCATGGTGTCCCCGGGGGGGTGTTGGGACAGCGAGTGTCACCCCATGGTGTCCCCAGGGGGGTGCTGGGACAGCGAGTGTCACCCCCACTGCGTCCCCGGGGTGTTGAGCCTCTCCCCAAGGTGGCACTGGGACAGCCACCGCCCCCCCCCCCATGGTGCCCCTGGCATGGCAGGTGTCCCCGTCTGGTGTCCCCAGGACATTCCCACGGCGGCCAGCATTGCCCCAGGGCAGGAAGCCTCACCCCACACGGTGCCCTGGGGGTGGCAGGTGTCCCCCGTGGCGCTCCCGTGGAGGTGACCGTCTCCCCCTCAGTGTCCCCAGGGGGACAGGTGTCCCCCCGCTGTGTCCCCGGGGCTGGCAGGGTGGCAATGCAGCAGGGTGGGGGCACGCGGGGGGCGCAGGCGACGTAGAGGGAGGGGGGCCGAGGGAAGTGAGGGGCTGACCAGTGACTCTGGCCGTGTCCCCCCAGTCCTTCCAGGGCAGCCATGGCCGTGCCTACCTGTTCAACTCCGTGTGAGTACTGGCGGACCCCGGGGACGGTGGCGGGGCAGGGGGGGGTCCCCGGGGGGCCCTGGGCTGGCTGCCGTGCCCGTGGGACACCCCGCTCTCGGCGCAGGGTGAACGTGGGCTGTGGCCCGGCTGAGCAGCGCCTGCTGCTGACGGGGCTGCACTCGGTGGCCGACATCTTCTGCCAGAGCTGCAAGACCACGCTGGGCTGGAAATACGTGAGTGCCCCTGCGCTGGCACCGCCATCCCCTGCGGGCACCGCCCGGGATCTCCAACCCCTGCCCCGGACACCCCTGGGCACTCCAAACACACCCTGTGGGTGCTGCCCCAGACACCCCAAACCCCTTTTCTGGGTAGCCCAAATGGGCACCCCCTGGCCACCCCAAACCTTCGCTGCGGACACCCCCGAGCCCTGGGGGAAGGCAGCACCCCGGGTACCCCCGTCGGGGTGCGGGGGGCTGACACCACCCCCCCCCGCCCCTCCCGCAGGAACAGGCTTTCGAGAGCAGCCAGAAGTACAAGGAAGGGAAGTTCATCATCGAGATGTCACACATGGTGAAGGAGAACGGCTGGGACTGACGCGGGGATACGGCTGGGACTGGGGGGCACGTGGGGGCACGTTGTGGGGCTGGCGCTGGGTGAACCCCTCCTTTGCACCTTCCCCGTGCCCCCCCCCCCCCCCCCGGTCGCAGTGCCCGTCCCCAGCAGCGAGGGCTGCGGGGCTTTTCTAGGGCAATAAAGGCTTTTTTTTTTTTAGGAAGGCGCTGGGTGTCACCTGCCCCCGGTGCTGCCACCACCCCTGGCTCACCCTGGGGTGACACCGGGCACACAGCCGGGGACCCGCGGGCACACTGGCACAGGGTGGGGGTCCCTGAGAGCCCCGGTGTGCCCTCCCCCGCTCTCCCTCCCCACGCACAGGAGCAGTGAGGGGCTCGGAATCTTTATTGGGACCCCGAGCTGGTGGGGAAACTGAGGCGCGGGAGGAGCAGGGACCCTCTGGTAACCTGGGGAACTGGGGCGGGGGAAGGGTGGGGAGATGGACGGGGAAAGCGGGGAGATGGGGGGAGGGGGGAAAGAGGGAGGGAGAACTGGAGGGAGAGAGGGAGGAAGCAGGGAGGGAGGGAGGGAAAGGAGAGGGAAGGATGGAGCTGGACGGTGGTTGGACGGGCGGAGGGAGGAAGGGAGGGGTGGAAGGAGGGACAAGGGATGGAGAGAGGGAGAGAGGAAAGGGGTAAGGGAGAGAGAGAGGGAGGGACGGAGGGAGAGGAGAAGGCAGGGATGGAGGGAGGAGGGCGAGGAGGAGGCGGGAGGGAAGGACGGAGGGCTGAGAGGAGGGAGGGCGGGGACGGGAGGGGCAGGGTCAGGGCCGGGGGTCGCTGAGGCGGCCCATGAAGACGGGCACCTCGCCGGCGTCGTGCCAGAGGACGAAGAGGAAGGGGCGCAGCGCCTCCAGCACCAGCGCCGAGCGCGCCACCGAGGTGGCCATGGCAGCCGCCGCCTCCACGCCGGCCTCGTCCAGCGCCAGCACCGCCCGGTGCCGCGCCTCGTCCACCGCGGCCGGGCCCTCCGCCAGCCCGCACAGCTCCGCGTCCAGGAACAGCCCGAAGTCTGCGGCACACGGGCTCACGGTCACCCCCGCGGGACACGGCGGCGAGGGGACACCGGAGATGGGAGGGGACACCGGAGATGGGAGGGGACACCGGAGGCAGGCACCCGGGGGCACAAGGGACACGGAGAAACCCGGGGGTCAGGGACACAGGGGTGCGGGGAGATCGGGACGCTGAGGATGGAGGAGACCCCAGAGGCACACCGGGGACGCCAGGGAGAACGGGGATATTTGGGCCACTGGGGACCCGAGATAATATGGGGGATAATATAGGGGTGCTGGGGGCATCAGGGCACAGCAGGGCACTGGGGACATGGGGGACACCAGGGGCACGGGGGGACCCAGGGGAAACCAAAGGTACATTGGGGACACTGGGGACAGTGGGGACAGTGGGGACAGTGGGGACAGTGGGGAAAGGGACCTGCAGGGGAGGAGCCCGTGACATCCTGCAGGGAGCAATGTCACCCTCAGCCCACCCAGCCCTCGTGGTGAGGTGTCCTTACCCATGTCGTGGACCAGGGGCACCACGTCCAGGGCGAGGTCGAGGTGCATCCGGGGCAGGGCCAGCGCGGTGGCCCGAGGGGGCGTCTGGGCCGCCCGCCGCAGCAGGGCCAGGAAGGTGGGGGGGTCCAGTGACCGCTCCAGGGTCTCCAGCGCCCCCAGGGGCCCCCGCGGCAGCAGCACCACCAGGCTCAGCCCCTCGCTCAGCTCCAGCCTCCCCACCTGCGGGACGGACCCCTGACTCAGGGCCACCACCGGGGACCCCACAGACCGGCACCCCCCAGTGCCACCAGTGAGGTCCCAGCCTGGCATTCCCCCAGCCTCGGGGGAGTGAGGTCACGGCTGGTGCTTCTTTCAGTGCCAGGGCACTGACATCAGCCTGGCATCCTCCCTGAGTGCCACAGGAGTGATGTCACAGCCTGGCATCCCTCCCTAGAGCCGCTGGAGTGACATCATGCCGTTACCCACCCCTAGCAGTGACCCACTAGCCCCCCAGGCCGGGCAGTGCCCCCACAGCCCTCCCAGTGCCCAGCAGTGACCCCCTAGACCCCCACCCCTGTCCCAGCAGGGGTACCTGGACCTGCAGGCGGGAGTCGGTGAACGAGGCCACCGGGTACTTGGTGCTGGTCATGGTGGGCACCTCGACTGGGGGGCGCCCGGGGCGCAGGAAGGGCAGCGGCACCGTCTTCTCGGGGTCCAGGGGCGTGCGCCAGGCGGCTGCGGGGACACGGCACCGGGGCTGAGGGGCGGGGGACACCGGGGGGACTGCGCGGGGCGGCCTCGGCCGCGCGCCCGATCCCCGGTGCGTCCCGGGTGGGCGCGGGCCGGCGCGGCGGTGGGGCCGTACCGCGAAGGTGGACGGCGCCGAGCAGCAGCAGGCGGGGCTGCGGGGGCAGCGCGGGCAGCAGGGCGGGCAGCAGCCCCTCGCTGGCCTCCCGCACCCAGGCGTTGATGCTCTGCAGGTCCAGGCTCTCGTTGCCGCTCAGGGCGCGCGGGCGGGCGCCGTAGAAGCGCAGGGAGTCGTTGAGGAAGCGGGGCCGGAGGCGCAGCTCTGCGTGGCAGGCACGGTCGGTGTCAACCCTGCGCCCACCCGGCGGCAGCGCCCCGCCGGCACCCGGCGCCCGCCTCACCTGGGTGGTGGAAGATCTGGGCGGCCGAGAAGAGGCCGGGCGAGCCGGCCAGCTGCTGCAGGGCGCCGTGCACGCAGCCCAGCCCCGGCGGGTACGCCAGGAGGGCGCCCAGCCGCTCGCGGGTCTCGCCGCGGGCGCCTGCGGGCACAGGGGAAGCTGGGTGAGGTGCCCCGGGTGGGACAGCCCCGGGGGACACAGGCGGTGCCCACGGCAGTGCCGGTGCTCGCGGGCGGCCCCTCACCCAGCAGCAGGTGCGAGAGCCCCGTGGCGACGTTGATGGGGGAGAAGAGCAGGTTGGCGTCGGGCCGGGCGGCCTCGGCCATGTGCTGGTAGAAGCGGAGGGCGAAGGTGCCCAGCGCCTCGGCCACGGCCGCCCGCTGCTCCCCCGTGGGCTCCCCGCAGGCCTCGGCCGGCTCCTCGTCCCCGGGGCACGGCGGGGTGGTGGTGCCTGGGGGTCCCTGAGTGGTGCCAGGCGTGGGCACAGCCGTGGTCCCGTAGGCTGTGCTTCCTGGCTCCTCAGAGGCTCCCTCAGGTTCTGTGGGCCCAGGGGCGTCTGTGGCCCCGTGAGGGGCATCCCAGCCAGGCAGCCCCTCGGGGTGGGCATGGGGGGTGGGTATAGGCAGGACAGGTGCCCCCACGTCCTGCGGGGGGGCCGTGGCAGGATGGGGGGGCACTGGCGGTGTCGGGGGCTGTGTGAGCAGCTTCGCTCCGCTGGGAGAGGCCTCCAGAGTGGGCACCTGGGTATAGGGACCTGGGTGAGGGGGGCACGGTGCACCCGGGTGGGCAGCTTAGATGAGGGGAGACAGAGGGGCACTGGGCACAGGGAGCCTGTGTTCCTGGGGCACACTTACCGGGCTGACAGTGGCCACGGCTGTGGCCACCAGCCACGCCAGGGGCAGCCAGAGTGTCATGGTGGGCATCCTGGTGGGAGGGCACAGGTCAAGGGCAGGACAGGCACCCTGCACCCCCACCCCGGCACCTGCATCCCCACTCCCTGCACCGCCTGTATCCCCACCCCGTGCGCCCCCATCCACCCCGGGGTGCCCCCATTCTGCCCCCCCGGGGGTCGGGAGGAGGCAGCACCCCGGGCCCACCTGGGTGCCCGGCGGGTCGGTCCCTGCGTGTCCAGCGGGCTCCGGGGGATCTGGCCGGCTCCGGCCCTGCCTGGTTAAAGATTAAGGAGGTTCCCGTAAATCAGCCGGGTGTGCGAGGGCAGCCGGGGTGGGACGGGCGGGGCGGTTCTGGGGGCAGCCGAGGAGGCGGGATGCGGCCCCGCGTCCCGCTCTGCCCCCGTCAGGCACCCGCTGGACGGTGCGGGGCGGCGCTCCTGTCACCCACCGCCACCGGGAGCCCCGGGTGGCGGGTGTTCCCGGCCGTCCCAGACCCGTCTGCTCGTCCCGGGGGTGCGGCCGGAGAATCTCGTCCCGCCCGCCCCGGGGCGTGATCCCGCGGAGCCCGTCCCCGTGGCACCGGGCACCGATCACCATGGCCGTGAGGATCACCAAGGTGGGGTCCGGGGGAACCGGGACCGGGGGGGGGGGGGTCTTTGTGTCCGCACCGGAGCGGGCGGTGCGGGGGTCCCGGTCCCGGGATGTGGGAGAAGCGGTGCTGGAGTGTCAGTGCCGGTGCGGGAGAAGCGGTTCTGGGGGTGTCAGTGCCGGTGCGGGGGTCCCGGTGCCGGGGTGCGGGAGAAGCAGTGCTGGGGGTGTCAGTGCCAGTGCGGGAGAAGCGGTGCTGGGGGGTGTCAGTGCCGGTGCGGGGGTCCCGGTACCGGGGTGCGGGAGAGGCGGTGCTGGGGGTCCCGGTGCCGGTGCGAGCGTCCCGGTGCCGGGGTGCAGGAGAGGCGGTGCTGGGGGTTGTCAGTGCCGGTGCGGGGGTCCCGGTGCCGGGGTGCGGGGGAGGCAGTACCGGCGTGGAAGGTTTTCGGTGCCGGGGGTGCCAAACCCTCCCTGCGCACTCCGGTTTCGTTTCCCCGGCGGGGACCGTTCCGCGTCAGGGCGTGGTCTGTAGTGGCCGCACCCAAGAGGCGCGTCCATGAAGGAGACCCCCCCCGCCCATAAGGGCGTATTCCAAGGAAACCACCGCCCACAAAGGCGTGGTCCATGGGGAATCCCCGCCCATCGAGCTGTGTCCCACGTGCTGCCCCGCCCAGGACGAGCCTGCGGAGGGGTGTTTTGGGGTGCAGCCCCGTCCCTGGAGGCGTGTCCCGGACGGCCCCAGCCACCCCTCGCCCTTCCCGCAGGAGCTGGAGGAGGTGCGGGGCTGGGAGGGAGCCCGAGACGTGCGGCCGCTGGACCGGAACGTGCGGCGCTGGGAAGGGCTCCTGCTGCCCGTGCGTGACGAGGGGCACGGGGGGCTGTGGGGGAGTCCTGGGCAGCGAGGGGCTGGGGGGGGGTGTGTGGGGTCCCCTGGGCGTGGGGGGCATGGGGGAACTACGGGGGCACAGGGGCCCTGGAGAGGAGATGGGCCCATGAGGGCATGGGGGGTGTTGGGGGTAACCCTTGGGACCCGGGGGCGTGGGGTGTCTCCTGGGGACACTGAGTGAGGGTCCCTATCAGGGCAGAATTGGGGAGGGTCCCTCTGGGGGCACTACTGGGGGACAGCCTGGGGCCCTGGGCTGGGGACACTGGGGGGAGGTTCCCCTCCTGAGGGGCTGCCGGGGGGTGGGTGGTGGTGTTTCTCCACGGGAGGCACTGGGTATATCAGGGTTGGACAGGGATCCCCCCGACAGATGATGCTGTGGCTTGAGGGGCTGAGGTGCCCCCCCTACCCCGGCAGAACACCCCCCCGTACAACGTGGGTGCCTTCCGCTTCGAGCTGACCTTCTCCCCGCGGCACCCGCTGGAGCCCCCCCGTGCCACCCTCCGCACCCCCATCTACCATCCCGGCGTGGACCCCGAGGGTCGCGTCTGCCAGCTCCTCACCACCCACGAGCACTGGGCACCCACCACCCGCGCCATCCAAGGTGGGCACCGAGGGGACGGGGGGCGCAGCACTGCGGGTGCCCCCCTGACTTCCCCCCCCCCGTTCCCGCAGTGCTGCAGGACCTGCTGCAGCTGCTGGACAGCCCCGACCCCCAGCGGGTGCTGCGGCTGGACCTGGCCCGGGAGCTGCAGGAGCACCCCGAGGAGTTCCGGCGCCGGGCACAGGAACACACCCGGCTCCACGCCGAGCCGCGCCCCGACCCCCCCGGCCCCTGAGCCCCCCACCCGGGGGCACCTCGGCTGCCCCTCTCCTTCCCTATGCCAGCCAGGGCTGGCCCTGGCATCACCCCTGCCTCGGCGCTGGACCTTGGGCATCGGGGGCCCCTCTGGCACCGTGAAGGGGGTCCTGCCCCCCCCACAAGAGCTGGCCCCCCACAAGAGCTGCCCCCCCGTACATAAGGCAATAAATTTGCTCCAGCACCTGCTCTGGCTCCGTGATACCTCAGGGGGAGGGTGGGAGCCTCCGGGAGGTGCTGCCCCCCGTGTGCCAGCCCTGGGGGGAATGTCACCCTGCCGGTGGCAGAGCCAGGGCTGTGCCCCCACAGACACTCAGTGCCAGCACCCCCGTGCCCACATCCCCCCCTCCAGATATGAGGCCACCACTGCCTGGCACCGTGGCCTTTAGTGCTGGGGGACAAGGCAGAGGACAAGGTTGGGGGTGGCACGGGTGGGGGGACCCCCTCAGCGCTTCTTGGTCTTCACGAGCCCCTTGGCCACCAGGCAGCGGTACAGCTCCTGCACGTACGTGTACACACACTTGGCGTCGGGCACCGGCAGCCGCACCATGTCCTCCACCTCCAGCAGCGGGGCACAGCCCGCCCGCTCCCTGCAGGGAGGGACACGCCCGTCACCGGGGCCGGGAAGGGTCCGGGAAGGGCCGGAGGGGACCCGGGGAGGGCCGGGGCTGCGCTCACGCACTCGGCGGTGGCGAAGGCCAGGGCGAAGTTGTGCCGGCGGGCGTCGGGCTCGAGGGCACCGAAGTCGAAGGCGTCGGGGAAGAAGCTGTGCAGGAGCGCACAGAAGGCCAGGCCGCTGCCCCAGCTCCCGGAGAAGTTCTGCACGTCCACGTTCTGCGCGGGCGGGGGGTCAGGCCGCCCCCCCGGGTCCTCCCCAGCCACCCCCTCCGCCACCCCCTGCCCGCGCTCACCGGGTACCCGCGGGTGCGGGCGCGGCACCACTCCAGCAGCATCGTCTTGACCGTGGCGGCCCCGCCCGACCGCCGCAGGTGCGGGGCCGGCCCCGTGGCGGCGCTGGGGGGACCCGGGACGTGGGACCCTCATACCCCCCTGCCCCCCGTAGGAAGCCCCCAGACCCCATTGCCCCAGGACCCTGGGCCCCCAACACGCCATTGCCCCATGGACCCCCCATGGCCACATTGCCCCTCTGTCCCACATCCACCCCGCTCTATGCACCCCCCATTCCCTTCCTACCCTCCATTTCCACATGCCCCTTCAATACCCACACTGTCCCACAGACCCCCACATCCCCCATGAACCCACTGTGCCATTGCCCTGAGCCCCCCAATACCCTCCCTGTCCCATGCCCCCCCCACTGTCCCCCAATACCCCCACTGTCCCATCCCCCCCCTCCATTGTCCCCCAATTCCCCCCCTACCTTCCATCGCCCTGTGGTCGGTCCCCAAATACCACCACTGCTCCATGCACCCACCCACCCCACTGTCCCACAGCTCCCCGTTCCCCCCTACCCTCCAGTCCCCCAATGCCCCCCCATTTTCCCATGTCCCCCCCGCACCCCCCGTGGGGCCAGGCCCTCCTCACCCTCCAAACTTTTCCAGGATGGCACTGCGTCCATACGCCCGGGACCCCACACGTGGCCTCCCCCCGGCCCCTTCCAGCCTCGGTCTCTGCCCCGCCGAACCAGGGGGTGCCCGGCCCCGCGGCCCCCCCGCTGGAGCACCCCTGTGGGCACACGGGGGACCCGCGGGTGGGCTGAGGCACCACGGCGGCTGCCACTCACGGGGGGGTACAGCCCTGAGCGTGGGGCTGTGGGGTGCCACCCGTGGGGGGGGGTATTGGGGTGCCACCCGTGGGGACACTCACCTCTTACCACCCTCTGTGCCATCGGTGGTGCCAGCTGCAAGGAGAGAGGAGGGGTCAGAGGGGTGGGAGGAGGCACCTAAATGCTGGGGCATCCCTGGGGCTCAAGGTCCTTCCCCATGGGGAGGGGACATGGGGTTCCTGCAGAGGACCCTATGGGGGTGAAGGACACTGTGCGGGACAGAGGCGACCCCAGGGCACTCAGGTGCCATTGCCTGCACGGCTCTTACCTGTGGGGGATGTGGGGGATGCTGGGGACGTGGGGGATGTGGGGGACACAGGGGAGGTGGGGGAGGTGGGGCTGGTGGCCCCCTCTGGGGACGAGCACGGGGGAAACTCAGGCCACAGCTCCTCGTCCTCGTCCTGATGCCAAGTGGGCTCCTGTGGGCACAGCAGGGGTGGCAGTGCCAGCGCGGGCACTGTCACTTACACAATGTCCCTGGCACTGTCACCCTGCTCCTGACACTGTCACCCCGCCCCTGACACTGTCACCCCGCCCCGGTGAAGTCACCCCTGTCCCCATCCCTACCGCACCTGCCCTCCCCTGGCTGTGTCCCTCCCCCTCATCGTGCCCCCCTGCCTCACCTGCCGGCCCCGGGTGCTGCCCGCTGCTGCCGGCACCGGTTCGCCCCCGGCACCCCCTTCGGTGCCCACCCCGGTGTCCCCGGCTGTCCCTGCCCCGGCATCGCCCTCGCCATCCCCGGTCTCCCCGGCATCGCCTCTGGCACCCCTGGGTGCTTCTGCCCCGGCATCCCCGGCAGCCTCTCCCCCCGCGCACCCCTCTGAGCCCCCCGTGTCCGTCCCGTCCCCCTCCGTGTCTCCCCCCTCGCCCTCCGCTCCGCGGGGTTCCCCCGCACCCTGCGGGGCCGTCGCCTCCCCGCTGCCCGCCGCCGGCCCCGCGGGGGGGTCAGGAGGGGTGTCCGGGGTGGGACTACCGCGGGTGGGGGTGCCAGGGGTCGAGGTGTCCGGGGAGGGGGTGCCGGGGGTAGGGGTGCCCGAGGTGGAGGTTTTCGAAGTGGGGGTGTCCGAAGTGGGGGTGTCCGAGGCGCGGGAGTCCGAGGCAGGGGTGTCGGGGGTGGGGGTGCCCGGGGTGGGGGTTTTCGAAGTGGGGGTGTCCGAGGCGGGGGTGCCCGGGGTGGGGGTGCCTGGGGGGGGTGTTTTCGAAGTGGGGGCGTCCGAGGTGGGGGGGTCCGATGTGGGGGTGTCGGCGTCTCCCATGGCCTCCATGCTGCTGCGGTCACTGCTGCAGGGGGACAGGGTTGTCACTGGGGTGCCCCCCGATGACCCCCCCAGCTTGCCCGTGCCCCCCGGCCCCGTTAACCCCCACCCTGCCCCTGTCCTCATGCCCCCCTCCAGCCCCGGCACACCCATTCCCCCATCTTGGGCACCCCATTTGCCCCCATCTAGACTCCCCCATGACTCATCCCGACACCCCAGTACTGCAGCCCGGCCCCCCCACTCCTCCTCCAGCCCCCCATGCCCTAAACCAACCCTTGCACTCCCCTCCTGCCCCACTACTCATTCCCCCCATGCCCCATGTCAGCACCGCCGTACCCCTTCCTGCCCACTGTACCCCCATTACGTCTGGGGCCCCCATTCCCCCTCCCGACCCCCCCACATCCCTCTCCCGACACCACGTGTCCCACTCTCGACGCCCCTATAACCTCACCCGACTCCTCCATGCCCCCTCCAGACACCCCCCCAGCTTCTCCCCATCCCCAGTGTCTCCGTGACCACACGTACCCCCTCCCGGCCCCCCATTTCCCACCGCCGGCCCCCCTACAAAACCCTTCCGGTCTCTCTTGCCCCCTCCCCGGTGCCCCCCGGCCCGTACCCTCCCGGCCGCTCCCCGCTCCACCCCCCGCCCCGCGTACCCCCCGTTCCCCCCGGAGCGCCCCGGAGCCCCTCTCCCCGTACCCTCCGGACCGTTCCCGCTCCGCCGTCCCCGCCGCGCCCCGACCCCCCCGCCCGGGGCTATTTTTACCCGGCCGGGGGCAGGTGCCGCCTTCACTCACCGCCCACCCGCGGGGCACGCGTGGGGTCAGGCCGGACACAGGGGCGCGGTTGGGGAGGGGGGGACGCGCCGACACGCCCACCCGGACAGCGGCGACGACCCCAAAGGAGCCCACGGGGTGACACGTGGGGCCCGCGCCGTGGGGGCCCGGGGGGACGCAGGGGACACCCCGGGCAGGGACAGGGAGAGTTGAGCGCGACAGGCACACGGGGGAGGTGGGAGGACACAGGCACGCGGGGGAACACGGCGGGACGCGGGGCTCACGGGCGACACGGAGGGACATGGAGGGACGAGGAGGGACACGGAGGGACGTGGAGGACACGGGGAACGCCGGGGGCAAAGGCTCCAGGGGGGACATGGGGCACACGGGGACAGCCCGGGCAGGGCGGCGGGACACGGTAGGGACCCAGAGCGGGGGACACGAGGCGGGGAACACCGAGGGTCGCAAAGCCCGCGGCGACCCCCAGACTGCCCCGGGGACGGTCCCGGCGCTGGCCACGCCCCCTCGGCTTGGCCACGCCCTCTCCGGCCTGTCCACGCCCCAGCGGGGCAAAGGCCGGGCAGAGCGCGCGCCTTTCCCTCCCACCGCCCCGGTCGCCGGCGTGGCCCCGCCCTCCCCCCGCGATGCCCAATCAGCGCTCGGGACGCACGGCCGGTCCCGCTTTCCCCGGTCTCTATTGGCCGGGACCGGCGGCGGGGCGGGGCCGCCGCGCGGGTGGGCGGAAGCGCGGCGCCCACGTGGTTCCTGCAGGGACCGGGCGGAACCGGGGGTCGGACGGGACCGAACCGAGCGGGGCCGGGCCGAGCGACACCGGGATCGGGATCGGGATCGGGGCCGATCCGGGCCGGTGCCGGCCGCCATGGACCCGCTGCGGGCACAGCAGCTGGCGGCCGAGCTGGAGGTTGAGATGATGGCCGACATGTACAACCGGTGCGGCCCGCCGCGGGGGGCGTTGGGGTGCTGCGGGTACTGGGGGGTGCCCATGGCTGGGGGGACACTGGGGGGTGCCAGAGCCACTGGGAGACCCTGAGGTGCTGGGGATGGAGGGGAGTGCGCGGGGTCCTAGAGGCCACCTGCGAAATGGGGGGGCATCGGAGGTACCCGAGGATGGGGCATATTGGGGGGTCCTAGGGGTGCTGGGGGTGGCTATGACAGGGAATGTTGTGGTGCGGGGGATCTTGGGGAGATGCGGACGCCGGTGTCCCGGGGCGGTGATTGCGGGGTGCAGGGTCTGGGGGTTCCGGGGATGGCGATCACAGGGGCTACAGGAGGTGTTGGGGTGCAGGACTGGGGTCCTGGGATGGTGCGGGGTGAGGCTGCTGGCGATGGCCGTGGCGAGGGTACAGGGGGTG